TAATATGGTGCTTAATTGAGTCTATACAAGAAGTAAAATTTAGAGTTACTTTTGAGACTTGAGACTTTTACAAGAATAAGTCCCAGCTCTGATGATGTCCATCGAATGATAGACGAAAGCTCATCCCGTTTTTACCCGAAAAATGCGACGTCTCGTGGACTGCGCCAACCTGAACGTCGTCCTCTTCCGGTGAGATCGACCTTCGAATCTCCCATTCATACACTTTCATACGAAATGAAAGGCTCCCAACAAAAAATAGGGGCGAGAACTGATGCCACAACGGCTAAGCAGAAAATTGCTTTTATTGTCAATTTGATAAGTTGTAACTTTGTGCTTACGAGGCCGTCGAAAGGTCTAGAAATGTACCAAGTCAACGGCCCGAAGCTGGAAATCACGAATACTATGGCAGAGGACATGGGTCTCCCTGACGCTCCAACCATGCTGTGAAAACAAGTCGAACAACACTACAAAGCTAAAGACAACTGCTACCAAACAGAAGGCCAGACCATCTTTGTTTTCATATCTACAATCAAAACGTATGTTTTTAGAAAATAAGTTTCATCGAAAGTATGAAGACCAAGATGGTGTGAACTTTTGTGGGGTCGCAGTCTCTTTTCGTTGTATAGAGGTTGTTTGACCTTGTTTTCGCTAAATAATTATATTGATGTGGGTTGACCTCGTTGTCGCAACTTGGTCTTGTGTTCAGGGAGACTATGTAGAACGCAACGAGTCCGAAGTCGTCTGCCATAGTAATAGTCTGGATTCCCAGCATCTGACAGTGGACTTGATACATTCTCGAACGTTTCGCCAGAATCGTAGTCGGCATCATCAGTGAGTCATTCTCTGCACCATGCCACGAACCCGTCAAAGAGACAAGTCTCTTGTCGCATCTTGTCAAAAGATGCTGGGAGTCATGACAACTACTATGGAAGACGACTTCGGATTAGGTGCGTACTACTATGTCGCCCTGACAACAAGACCAAGTTACGACAACGAGGTCAACCCACTTCTATCAATCGAAAGGAGACTGCGACCCTAACAGAGGCTACAACATCTTGGTCTTCATATCTTCAATCCTCCTTTGGTTTCGGGTGAAACCAGCTTACTAAACGGAAAGTATAGAAGTTGTTTGACCTTGTTTTCCCAACTTGGTCATATTGGCAGGAAGACTTAGAGGAACGCACCTCGTCCGGAGTCCATTGTCTGCATGATCATTTCCAAAGTTGAACCGTGGACGTGGTACATTCCCAAACGTTTACCGGAATCGTCAGTGAGTTTTGCCATTCGTAGCACCACACAACAACTCGTCAAAGAGACAAGTGAAGCCGATCCT